CCCCCAGTTTTTTATTATGGTAAAATGACACATAACAGAAAGTTTACCATCCTAATCTCTCTTTAAGTGTAGGGTTCAGTGGTAGTAAGTACATTCATAATGTTGTGAATGTTGTCACCACCATCCATCTTCAACCTTCTCATTTGGAAAAACTGAAACTCCATCTCCATTAGACACTGACTCCCCATCGCCCTCTTCCCCCAACACACCACCATTCTACTTTCTGTCAGCATGAATTTGACTGCTCTCGGCACCTATCAAATTGTACAGTACTTGTCTTTTTTGTGACTGTTTTTTTTCACTCAGCATAATATCCTCGGGTTTCATCCATGTTGCAGCAAGTGTCAGAATCCCCTTCCTAAGGCTGAGTAATCTTCCGCTATAAGTATGTCTACACCACATTTTGCTTATGTGTTCATCAGTGCAGGGATGCTTGGGTTATTTCCACAGCTCAGCTATTGTGAATAATGCTGTTGTGAACATGACTTCCCAGGTGGCGCTCGTGGTAAAGATCCTGCTTCCCAATGCAGAAGACTTAAGAGACCCTGGTTTGATCCCTGGGTCAGGAAGATCCCCTGAAGAAGGGAATGGCAACCCGTATTCTTGCCTGGGAAATCCCATGGACAGAGGAGCCTGGCAGGCTGCAGTCCATGCGGTTGCAAAGTGTTGGACACGACTAAAGTGACTAAACACACGAACGTGACTGAACAAATATCACTTCAAGGCCCTGCTTTCAGTTCTTTGGGGGTAAATACTCAGAATGGAATTGCTGGATTATATGGTAATTCTATTTTTAAGTTTTTGAGAAACCGCCATACTGTTTGCCACAGTGGCTGTACCATTTTATTCCTACTAACAGTGCACAAATCTTCCTGTTTCTCCACATCCTTGTCCAAACTTGTTGTTTCTGGGTTGTTGTTTTTTTTTAATATACTGGCCATCCTAATGGGTGTGGTATTTCATTGTAGCTTTGATTTTCATTTCTCCAGTGATTAGTGATGTTGAACATGTTTTCATGTGCTTATTGGCCATCTGTTTATCTTCTTTGGAAAAATGTTTATTCAAGTCCTTGCCTATTTTTGAATCAGCTTTTCTTGTTGTTATTGAGTTTTAGGAGGTCTCTGTATATTCTAGATATTAATCTGTTATCAGATGTTTGATTTGCAAATATTTTCTCCCACTCTTTGGGTTGCCTTTTTACTCTGATGCTAGTGTCTGATGCACAAAATATGTTTAAATTTTCATGAAGTACAACTTCTTTATTTTTCTTCACTTGTTGCCTGTGCCTTTGGTGTTATATCCAAGAAATAACTGCCACATCCAAAGTTGTGAGCTTTGTGTTCTATCTTTTCTTCTAAGAAGGTATTGTTTAGGTTTCACATCCAGACCTTTGATACATTCTAATTTTTGTAAATGGTGTGAGGTAAGGGTCAACTCCATTCTTTTGCATGTGACTATCCAGTTTTCCCAGCACCGTGTACTGAAAAGACAGTCCTTCCTCCCTTGCACCTTGCCATTAAACTATTTATGTTGATGGTGTTGATGGTTACAAGATGGCATGAATCTGTCAATTGTACACAAGGGTGACTGTCACTGTGTGTCACGGTTTGAATTCCACTTCCTCCACTTACCTGCTCTGAAGCCTCAGGCAAGCCCATCGTCCTGCACCCCCTCTTCCTCCTCAGTGGGTGGGACTGGGTGGTAATTTGGGGGATTAAGCACCCAGGACACCAGGCGCAGGCTCTGGCAGGCCTGGGTTCTCTGTGGTCCCCATTGTCAGACATGGTGGCCAGGGTGGGGGCCCCACATCTATCTAATGCCCACCTGGGCATTCCCAGGGCATTAAAGTTGTATGAACAGTCTGTCCCTCTGCCCAGAGCTCTCGTGGCTACTGCATAGCTCACCCTTCTGGAAAGCACACAGCCAGTGGGCACCTAGAGTGGCGGTCGGGCACAGGGACCGCCGAGTCAAGCTGGCTGACATTGTGTTCTGGGTATTTCATTGCTTCTGGCAATGGGCTCCAGTCCCCGGAGAACCCAGACCCCTTCCTCCATCTTGCATGCCTGAGCCCCCTCTTCACTGTAATAAGCAGTTTTCTGAAACAATCTGTTTGCTGGGCCAGTCCTACAGGACTACAGTCCAAACGTCTGTCACCTGGTCTCCAGGACACATCCACAGCCAATTTGCAGTCCTTTCCAGAGAGGCCAGAGCAGCAGACAGTGAAGAAGTGTTCAGTTCAAAACAAATGTCAGCTGCCGCCCTTTCCTACGAGTCTCTACTCAAAACCAGGGTTTAACATCTATCTCCACTGACCTGTCCCGTCCTCCCCCAAATCTGCGAATGACTGATTGCATCTACGTGGACAAACACTGACAGTTACTACATATTATAAAGTTATGACAATAAAGCCACCTCATTACGTGTTTCTTGCCTGACCTTTCCTGCTGCATGGATAGGATGAACTGTCCCTGCAGTGATGGAGGGAGGACCCTGTCTATCTGTTGTCACCTTCTGCAGAGACCAGGGAGCCCGTCGCCATGCCTCTGGTCCAGGACAGCCAGTTCAGAGAGGGAGAGGAACAGGGCCTCCAGTCAAGGGCTGACTGTCCAAAAAACTTGTGCCAGGAGATTTTGAAATAGTGTCTTCACTTTGTGAAACCCTCATGCTGAGAACACACAGGAAAGTGAAGCCCAAAGGTGACGAGGATTGAGGGAAAGGCTGCCTGATGTCCTGCAGGGGGTTACAGGCCCTTCTGTCAAGGGACCCGATCTTCATGCCCACTTTGGACACAGGAAGGTCCTTCGGAAGATGAAACCAGGCCCTGCAGGAACTTTCTGTTGACTAGACTCTCCTGAGGCATCGACAGCTTCCCACAGGGCACAAGGCTTCACTGAGCCGCCCCTCCCCTCCTGGCAAAAGGGTCAACAGGATGCGAGGGCTATCCTCGCTTCTGATTTTTGGAAGCTTGTTAGCATTGTAAATGGCAACCCACTCCGGAATTCTTGTCTGAAGAACCCCATGGACAGAGGAGCCTGGTAGGCTCCTGTGTCCATAGGGTCACAAAGTGTCAGACAGGACTGAAGTGACTTAACATTAGGAGTGTAAATGATGTCTTCTTGGTGGATGCTCGAGGCGAACTTGTTCTCCTCCCAGGAGCAGGTGTCCTGAAAGAAAGCCACCTGCTGCAGCAACCTGAGGGGCTGCCTGGCTGGAAGATTCTGGGCCTTTCTCTCATTCTGTTCTGATTTCCTAGCCACGGGCCTGACAAGGACCCAGCAGCAGATGGCGGCGCCTCTGGCTGGACACCTCCACACTCACTGCAACAGGTGGCTGGTAGCATCAGCAAGGGCTGTCCGGACACCCAGAGGCCATCAGTGCTGGGCTGGGTGCTTCTCCCCAGGTATTAAACAGGAGGTTCCTTCCAGGAGCCCCAGCATCATCTCTGGGGACAAGGTCTGAACACGGTCAGAGCTGATCCTTGGGGCCCTGCTGGTGCCATTGCCAGCTCCATTTACTTGGGGAGGCTGTGATGACACCTGGTCATGTGTGGCCAATGCCCTGCGCAGACCTGTGAGCCTATGAAGGAGCAGTGGTCGGCCTGGCACCTTCATTTTCTCCTCACAGAGCCACCACACTGTGGGGTGGAGGGGCCTGGCCTTCACGGAAGCCTGCAGTGGCCAAACACAGCACTGCCTATGAGGGCTGGGCCCGCTTCTCTGATGCCTTCTTGTGACTGGGGGCCACACCTGATGAGGAGCCTGCCAGTGCTGGGGCGGCCCTGACCCTTGACCCCACCAGGGAGAGCAGCACCCCACCTGGAGGGGACCAGCCTATGCGGCTCAGGGACACAAGACACTGCATTGGCCCCAGCCCTAGATGGCCTGTGAAGTCCGGCCAGCTCCACTGTGTGTGCAGCAGGTCCATCGGCCACCATGTTGCCTGTGTGGCTGGCTCCCCAGTGGCTCTCAGAACCTTTCACTAAATCAACAGACACAGACCTGAACTTTCAGAGGCAGCAGAATCAAAGCCTGAAGGTCTTTTGGTGAAGTGGGTCCTACTTTTCATCCCACAAGGACATTCCAAGTTACAAGGTTGCTCTGAAAACCACCCAGGCCCTCCATCCAAGCTACGATCACCCACTGGGGGCCCATGGCAAGGCCATGCCCTCCACACACCGGTCATGGCGGGTGGGGGGGGGGTCGTCTCTTAAAAGCAAATCCCACGGGAACACTCTTTAAAGAGAGACCCCTGACGTCCCAGTGCATCACGGTGGCCAAGCTGAGGGGCAGCTCTGGTGCGTGTTGAAAACTTGTGCTGCCCACGCTTTGGAGTCCCAGGCCATCCTGCCTGTTCTCCTTCCATTCGAATCGGGCTTGAAGGAAGCAGCAATGGGGACTACGCTGTGGGATCTGACCTTGGGGAGGACCCAGGTATGCAGATGAAAGTGTTGGTCACTCTGTCATGTCCAACTCTGTGTGACCCCAGACTGTGTAGTCTGCCAGGCTCCTCTGTCCATGGGATTCTCCAGGCAAGAATACCGAAGTGGTTGCCATTCTCTTCTCCAGAGGATCCTCCTGACCCAGGGACTGAACCTGGGTCTCCTACACTGCAGGCAGATTCTTTACCGTCTGAGCCTGCAGGGAAGTCCCCAGAGATGCAAACCTTGCAGCAAATTACTGGAGTGGTAAGAAACAGGACAATCTGTGAAAGCTGTCAAACTGCCCTAAACACCATTGCTCTAAACGTGTCCCGGGTCCCCCAACCTCACATTCCCCAGAAAAGCAGTTTGTTTTAGTTGCCGGCCCCCACCAGGGATACAGGGCTCCCAATGCTAATGACCAGGTGTGTCAGCACCTCCTCTCTGCAAAACTCTGAGACCACACATGCTTGGGGCCTCTGTGTGGTCTGGGGGCCTCTGCCTGTTCCAGGGACCTGGCTTGGGTCCCACCAGGCAGATGCCCTGGAACTCGACCGTGGCATCACGCCTCCGGTTTCCAAAGCTACAGAATCAAGCCTTCAGAACAAGGGTTCACTTTTAAAAGTGTTTTAATTACAAATGTGGTTTTGAAGCCAGGACACACAATGCCGACACCCTCTTGCTGAGAACCCACACTGTGTATAGCTGCATGTGTGTGCATGTATGCGCTTGTGCATGTGTGCACACGGCAGATTGTCTTCGATTCAAAGAGCTCTGCCACGGCCAGTGGTGGTGGCATCTCTACAGAAAGTAAACAGTCACAGGGTGTAGATGTGTGCGGAGGTGGACACGCACAGAGGTGAGGACACCCCCGAGGCGGGTCACACATGCATGACAGGAACACGAGTGCTGCAGGGACAGGTCGACTGTCATGCGTGCGGGACTCACTCTGTGTGACGGCATGGCCTGCAGCGAGGGGGAACCTCAGGGACCAGAGGGCTAGGAGCCATCTGGGAACTACTGGTCAGAGTTTCTGGCCACCCTCGTTGTCATGGTAATGCTTCATTTCGGACAGTGTAAAGTGGTGATTAATGCCTATCTTGCTCTTCAGCAAAGTATTATTCAAGTAGCTTGAACTTAAATATTTTCAAAGTAATCTTTACATTATCGAAGATTGATAAAAAATACAAACTCTGACAATTTTTCATTTCATTCAATCGGCTGCTTTGAAAACCTCCACTTCTGTGTTACCATGATTTAAAAAGCAATTCCTGGCCTGTATAAGGCTCCTGGTGGGACTTTTCTCAAGATCCATCTTTTCCTGTTATTGGTTCAGATTTAAAATACTTTTAGAAACCCTTTCCCGCTGCATTATGAGGAGGAATATGGACCCTTCCCATTAATTCCTTTATTTATAACTTTTTGTAATGAAGAAGGTACTGTACTCTATGCCAGCCCAACTCGTCCTGTCACATAAAGGGAACTGTAAAGACTGTTCCTTCTCAAACCTTAATGGAAACATGATGATCCCAAGGGAAGTTTTATGAAGAGGCTGCAACAGTAGTAAAATGTTTGGCAATCAAAAGTTAATTAGAATTAAATCCTCAACCAGGGACGGTGCAATCTCCACGAACAGTCATGAGAAAAGCTGGTTTCTGCCATAGCGGAAGCTCAGAGCAGCCGCTTGACGGAGTCCAGCCTCTGGGTCTCCGGGTCTGGGGGCCGGTCCGGCCTCTCAGTAGATGTCGGGGCAGCCTGAGAAATCCCGCTCGAAGTAGCCCCCTGCGTACAGCCAGTCGGGGGTCCCAGTGTACGGGTTACTGCCTCGGTGAAACCACCTGTGACACAGAGCAGGTGGTCAGGAGGCCAGTGGCCTTTTCTCCACGTGGGGTCACGGCCCCTCCAGTTAGCGCCATCACCTGACATGTCATCTCACATGCAGCCCAGGCTGCAAGCCGCAGTCTCATGGGACACGGGGTAGCTTCGCTCAGCCCCTCCTCACTGCCCCCAGGTGGGTCGTTCTGTGCCTCCCCCGCCCCATCCCCGTGGCCGCTGGGTGCCTCACCGCGTCTGCCACTCAGCCTCCTCCCGGGCCCGCTCCCTCCGGGCCTCCCTCTGCTTCTCCTCCAGCCGCTCCTTCTCCTGGCTTGCCAGATCTAGATGCAAGCACGGGGCAGGTCAGGGACCAGGGCGACGGGCAGAGGTGAGGCTGAGAAAGTGGATGAGGGACACCCCACATCCCCCCCACCCAACCCCACCCAGGTGGGAAGCCACACACAGGGAACCATAGGCAGTAAGTGTGCGGGAAACCAGACCCAGACACAAGCCCACGGCCAGGCCCAGGCCCCAGGGCAGCCAGCGCCCCACAGAAGGGCCGTGAGGTAGGACAGGCATGGGGGGTACCCTCCACACCAGAGACTTTCAAATAACTTCTGAAATGTAACGTTACTGTCTGTTGAACCTAGTAAGAAAATCGGGGACTTGTATAATATTTTGTATATATTCTCTTTCATTTCTTTTTTCTAGTAACTTAATCTTATTTTATTTATAAAAGAAGAGGCCTGCATCGAACTAGTAGCTTTACAACTCTTCCCCACAGACGGTTTGAGAAGCACGTCGAGAAGATGTGACGTGTGTTCAGTTAATGGGGATGCGTTCCTTTCCCGCACCACCCACGTGGCCAGGGCTGGGTGCCCGGTCAGCCCCACATGCGAACACGCACCCATGTTGCCGTTCTCCATGCCTCGGATGTCAGGGCGTAGCCGGCAGTCGGTGGGGGCCAGAATCTTCTCCATGCCTGTCTCCAGTTCGTTGAGACTCACAGTGAAGCTGGTGAAGTTGTACATCTGGGGGGTAGGCACAGAGTCGTTACTATAAACGATACTCTTTTCTGCACTTGCCTGGGTCTCCTTGGAGGCTGATCCTCTCCACCCCCACAGAAGGCACCCAGACTCTCACTGTGATATCTGACCTGCACATCTGTCTCCTCATGCCCCAGGGGTCCGAGAGGAATCTCTATCTCAACCCCTCCGCGGTGGGGTCTGCCGCCTCCTGACACCCAGACCTGGGGGCTTGCCTCCCTCCGGCCCCTTCTGCTCTGGCCCCGAAGCCTATCTCCACAAGTGGCTGGAGGGGCCCCTGGTCCCTCAAATGACCCCATGGTTCCCCACTTCATATACAGTAAGAGAGGAGATTGGACTCTGGCTGCTCCCCTGCCCGAATGCGGCCCTCTGGCCAATGGCCCAAGCTCCCTAGTCCTTGCCCCATGTACCCGTGTCCCCAGGAGGCCCACCTCCAGCCCATCAGACCGGTCACTCTGCTGTGTGGGGCCGCAGTCCTCGCCCATCTGTCCTCAGGCTCTACTCCAAGGGACCTGGACCCACCTACTCCAACCCAGTAAACGTTCACTGAACCAAAGAAACGGGTGTGATTTCTAGTTTTTACTGGTTTTGTGTGTGTGTGTGTATGATCTTTAAACAGAAGCTTTTTCTCTAGTATTTTATAATTTGTATTCCACTGAAACTGCAGTAATGGCTGTGCTGAGATCATCTATTTATCGCTGAATGTTTGTTTCTTTTATTTTGCACAGGTTGCGGCTTTACTTAAAGGATGTGACAAAAAATTTTTTAAAAATCTATGGTACACTGTATATATAATATAAAATTTATAATATATTAAAATGAATTTTACTATACATTTATCATATAATTATTTTCATATATTAAACATTACTGTATGTAATATAATCATTTTACCATAGGTAACAAAATTATAAGTGCAATTTTCCAATTTTATCATAGGTACCAAAATTACAAGTGCAACTTTCCAAAATAAATATCAAAAATGTATTTAAGGACTTAAATTGACAAGTCAGAAAAACAATCTCTTGAAACCAGTTTGGAAACCCTTGCGGTCAGACACAGCCGGTATGGACACTGAGGGTTCGCAGTGTAACCGGGTCCTGAGGTGTGTGTGGATGCCTGAGCTGAGTGCTGACAGGTGGGGGTCATAGGGCTCGGAGGGCAGGGAGCCCCAGGGGTGACAGGATGGCGGGGGGCCTGGCTAGCGCCGGGCGCACAGACCTGAGCGGAGTTGGGGGGCCGGGTATTGACTCTCCAGAGTAGCTTGCTGCCTGGAATGACCTGCACCGTCTCCTGAGACTCGGGCACAGCGTCTGCCACATCGCCATCAGCCTTCTCAGGGCCGTCGTCCTGAAAGACACAGCACCCACTGCCCCCGGAGCCCTAGCAGACCCTCCCAAGCCCCCAAGAGGGCAGCAGGCACCACGCTCCTGGTAGGGGAGCCCGTGTGGCCTCCTGAGCCTGACTGGATGGGGTGACACCTCCTCAGGCAGCCGAGGGCGCCCCCAAGTGGTCCTCTCCCCACACGCTGCCCTTCTGCACACGTGGTGACTTCAGGGTGTCTCAGCGTCTCTAGACTAAGCCCTAACTGGGGGGTCACATCTCAATAGAAAAGTACAACTGCTACTTCCTTTTCAAAAGCAGTGGGACCTGGAGAAGAAGAGTGGCTTTCAGTTAGCTGAGGGAGATACTTAATTACAACGAGCACAGCCTGGCAGTCTTCCCTGCCTGCGGGTTACACGGTGTGGTGCCAGAAGCTAAGTGAAGACACACAGCAGCGGTTTGCACCCCCATGAAATGCTCCCTCCTTGTGACGTCACCCCGAGCGGCAACACAGCCAAGCAAATGCACTAAACATGTCAGTAAACAGATTTAACATCTGCTGTATGGTCTTCAAATGGAACTTTACTTTTTTTTTTTTAGTTTAAATGAGTATTTTTTAGAAAAGATGTCTAATAGCACCTGTGAAATATTACAATATAAAAAACCAACAGGGACGTCCCAGGCAGTCCAGTGGCTAAGACTCTGAGCTTCCCCTATAGGGGGCGCAGGTGTGATCCCTGATCAGGGAACTAAGTTCCCAGACGCCACATGCCTCGTGTCTTGGCCAAAAACAAAACAAGAAACACTAACAAATCTCAGCAGAAGTTGAAGATTCTGTTAAATAGATATTGAACACCTCGGGTTTGGTACACTCTAATTTATCATCTAGAAAAACGTGACACCTTTTTTGAACTACTGCCTCTAGTTTTAGGATCAAGGAGAACTAGTCTTAAGATAATCCGTATTGGGTTTTATCACCTGGAACTCAGAACTAGAAATGCAGAAAGGACATCCACTTGCTTGTCTACTGGGTCTCAGGTAACAAGGTGTGGGGACAGGAGATGTATCAAGAAATATCCAGAAGGAAATGGAGGCACCCTCTGATCCTTCCAGGTAGGGCGGTGCATAGAGGCACCCCAGCACCCGGCCGTCCAGAATCAGGCGGACAAGCACCTTCGCTCTGAGAGACAGATTCTGTAATCCATCCCCTCCAGCTGGATCACAAAGGCACTGCCTGGCCAGGCCCCCACACCCTCACTGGGGACTCCCCCACAGCAGCCCCATACCGGTTTCGTCTTCCGCAGGGAGTCCCCTCTTCTCTCCTGCTTTCTGAAGGACTCGTATGTGACGGGGTCTATGCCCCACAAGCACTCCGTCCACTTGCCATAGATCATGAAAAGCTTCTTTTTGCTGGAGGGAAAGGGAATTTTTAAAAGCGAGTAACAGTGATCAGCAACCATTCATCCAGACACGCAGCACCCTAACTTGACCCCAAATCAATCCTCATTGTCAGTCTTCTTGTAAACCCCAGGATACTGCTGGTGCAAACATGCAGACGGAAAGTTCCATTTCAGTATCGCCACTCACAGCTTTTAGACTAACTCTTCACACTCCTTTGCCAAAGCAGGGAAGAGAAAACAAGGGTACAAGAACCTGAAGGGCTGCGGGAGGCAGCTGGGGTGAGAACAAGTGTGTAACGTAACACCCTATGAGCCTGATTGTCATTTTTTAAATACACTACATCTTTAACTACCATGTCTCCTGCAGCCCCTTCTCTATATGTTCTATGAACAACCCTCCCCACATTCAGCTGCCGCTGCCTCTTCAGCTCCATAACCTGGAGTCAGACCCCCATCACTTCCGCCCACAGCCTCCAGAGAGGGCGCTCTGCCTGATTCCCAAGGAACAATGCATGCTGTGCCCTGTTCTCCTTTCCCGCATCTTCCTGGGTGAGCAGGGAGTTGACCATGTGCTCCTGGAAGGCCGTGCTGGCAGCCGAGGGCCATGCTGGGAGGGCACCTGTGCCTCAGAGGCTAGGCTTGGAGGGTGGCAGGCGGGGACACATGGCTGGTGCTCTCTGTCCAATTTGGGATGGAAAACCAGAAACTCGGAGCTGGGCTGGTGCAGGTGGGTGTCCACTGCTGCAGCCCGTGTCTGTAGGCCAGCTGACCGCGTTCTCTCTCTGGGCTGACTCTGCAGGGCTGGTCGATGCCAGCACCCTGAACAGGATTGCTATCCTGTGAAGCTGCATGCCAAGTCCCAACAGATTTCAAGGGGCGAAGTGGTCAGAGTCCTAAGTCTAAAGGTACTTAAGGGATTTGAACAGGTGAACGTCTGGCACCCAATAGAGTGGGATAGACTTTTACCCACTGCTTTACACTAGGAACTATTTCTACCTGAAAATGTACATATTTTAGGAGCTGAAAGGAGTCTTATGGGTGTTATGTGGTCCAAGTTACTTGATGGAAAAAAGAAAAAGAGAGAGAAACTGAGACCCAACACATAGCGTAACTAACTCAAAGCAGGGAAGAATCCCCCAAACTTGTTAAAATACTACTGGTCATTTCTCTGCTCACAGAAACTTGAAGAAGTCCCAGATTTCCTGACAGGAACGAAAAAATCATGTGGGAAAGGATGCCCGTAAACGAGTGTCTGGGTTTTGCCTGACAACCATACTGAGCCCAGCAGAGAGAGCGAAACATGAGGTCAGATTCTAAAACCGTGACTTCTGCAGAAGACGCATGTACCAACTGGGCACCTGTGACCCGACCTGCGCAGGGATCTACCTTTTGTCTTGAATGTACCCCTCCACTTTGTGAAGTTCTTTCCCAAACAGTCCACATGGTTTAAAGTGAAGCACGCACTTATCTCCAGTCCTGCAGGGAAGACAAACACAGGCTTCTGCTGTGGATGGGAAATGTCCAGAAAAGGTGAATCGAGGGGGTAGCGAAAGATAGAAGGAGAGATGGAGATAGAGATAGAAAGGGAGAAACCGAGAGTGAGAGGGGAAGATGGGGAGATAGCAGGGGAGAGAGAGGAGCAAGCGAGAGCTCGTACGAGGGGCTCCCCAAGGCGGGGCAGCATCAGGACTGCATGGAAGCCCCAGGGACCTTTCCAGGGGACAGAAAGCTCCAAGTACTGCCTGGTGCTGATGGTTACACAATTCAGTAGATTTACTAAAAATATTTACATGTCTATTTAAATGGGTGGATTTTTATGACATGTAAATTATATCTTAAGAAAGCTGTTAAAAAACATAGCAAACCAGCCATGAACTTCCAAGAATAAGGCCTGACAGACTGGACAGTGGTCACTGTTTTCACCAAGAAGTCACACCATTCTTGAGTGTAGTTTAAAACTTCAAACTAAATCAACCACTGTGACTAAGAACACAGAAATAACAACACGGAGCACTAACGATGACTCTGACCAGTGCCGACCAGAATCAGATCCAACTGCACCACGTGTGGTGCCTCGCGGCCAGTGTGGCCCGTCTGGAAGCCGAGCGCACTGGGGACCAGGGAGGGCCCTGGGGAGCTGAGGCGGCATGAATACACAGCTGAACGCCAGCGGCCGGTGCTCCGGGCGCCCCATCGCCACCCTGACTCGCAGCGTCTCAGCATTGGGCCCATTACCTGTGGTTTAAAATCTCCACTGTCCCATACTGCTCTATCCAGAGCTTGCCGATAATCACGTTGTGGACACAGCACGTAGGGTTGGTCCAGGTGTATGCCTCCTTGTGTCTGAAATACGCCAGAGAGCAGAGACACTGCGTGACCCCAGAAGCCAAGTCCCAGACAGAATCACACCATAATTGACTGAAAGCTGCAGAAGGGCACAGCACAGCTTTGAACTCCCGAGCAGGGGCTACTTCTTTAGCATTCGTTTGAAATGTCCTTTGTAGTATCAACAAAGCTTTCTATTTAAACCTGGAGACAAGTTAATCAGCAATAAAAGGCTTCGACAAAGGCAAGAGGTTTCCTGTGAAGTTATCAACAGAACAGCCCCCCTACCCATCCCCGCCCTGCCCTGCAGGAACCACAGGTCCCTAGCGTGCCTGGGCCCTGGCCTTCTGGGGCCGACATGAGGCGGGGTGGGTCCCGGGGTGCAAATGCCTTTCCCATCAGTCAGGCCTCTTGCTCCCCAGCTGGGCTTCCCCCAGGAGAAAAGAAACCTCATAAACGGGCAGAGAGCGGAGGGCTAGATCCATGTCTCAGGGAGGCTGTGTCAGAGCCACAGTTGAGGGCAAAAACCAGGCCAGGGCACTAGGAACATTGAGAACTTCTTGAATCTCCTGGGAACCCAAAGAGTTCATTGACCAGGCTTGCAACTCTGCAGCTCCTGGTGCCCCACCCCAGAAAGCCAAGAGCAGGTGACCAGGAGGGGCTGCCCTGGTCTGCCCTGAGATGCAGGGGTCTGGGGTGGAGACCACGCTTCTCTGGCCAGGTGGGGCTCACAGGAAACACAAATGACATCCAAAGCTCCCACAGAGCTGCAGGCAACGAGGCCCGTGCTTCAGGGAGTCAGCTGTGCCTCTTGGCCTGGATCGTCCACAACAGGTTTGCAGTGCCAGTGGGCTGCTAGAGACTCAGTTTCTGCCTGGAGGGTCTTTGATCAACGTCAGATTGGGCATGTCTGGATTTAAAGGTAGGCAGGCGTCCTTGAAGACAGCCTCTCCATTCTCCTCCCCTCCTGGAGTTCAGACCCTCGACCACGGCTGGTCTGTGTGACCACGGCACATGCACGTGGGCTGCGGTCACTTCTGAGGTCAGGTGATAAAGGACACTTCTATCCTGGGGCACCCCTCCTTGGTCCCTAGCTCTGGGGGGTGCCAGCGTCCGGCTGCACAGGTGTACGGAGCAAGGGGGCGGCAAGTAACCCAGGTCTCCCCCAGTGGCCGGGGAAGGGACTGCAGGAGCAGAGGCTCTGCCTGGTTGTCTTCAGGGGTTCGTCCAGCCCGCAGCCCGGTTGCACCAGCACAGAACCCCAACAGAGCCCCCACATCACCCCCAACAGCATGTGAGGACAGGACTATTTCAGGCTCTGAGCTGGGCTGTCACACAGCAGGGGATGACCACCACAACCAGGGACTGAACTGCAGAGACCAGGGGAGAACAAACAGGACCCAACCCAATCCTGTAAGGCGCACACCCCCTGCCCAGGAACCACAGCCCCAACGAGGCCTCCAGGCTCCCTGAAGGAGGGCCTGTGCTGCAAGGCTGCCTGCCTGGCAGAACACCATGGCCCCTGCACCGCACAGCTCCCCACTCACTTGAGCAGCTCCAGTGTGATGGTGCCACGGGGCTCTGCCTCCACGCTCTTCCCCCAGAACTTGAGCTTTGGATAGATGGAGCCATGAAACAGGAAGTCCTGGTGGAGGCCCTCTGAGTAGAACGCACTGATCGGGGGGTGGTGGCTGACCTGCTCAGATATGAACCTGAACCCTAAGTCTTCCCTGGGAGCAAAAATGAGGAAAAGAAAGAAAGGGGCGGGAGAGACACCCAAAGGACCTTGTGACTGACAGCAAAGCCCATAAAGTCGGCCCAACACCCCCGTCCCCAGGGAAGCCCATAGCTCAGTACCCGCATGTGGGATGGAGGACCCACAGAGCCCCTGACCCCATCTGGGAGGGGTGCTGGGATAAGGGGACCACATATGCTGTCACACGTGGCAGAAACATCCTACATGGCTCTCCAGTGTCACACTTAGCCTAATGCTGACCACACACACACACACACACACACACTGTGCCTCCGGGGCGATCATCCACACACAGAACAAGCAACTGTGCGGAGAGGCCTCCCGCCCTGACCCACTGCCCACCCCGGTGCTCTTAGGACCAGCGGCTCAGAGGCCTGACAGCAAACTGTCACCGGAGTTCTCGAGGGATGCCCACTGCCCAGGAAACCCAGAGTAGGACTGTCCAGCCTCCTTTCAAGGCTCCCAGGATGTTTGTGATGAAATGTCTTATGCCCCAAGATATTCCTGGCCAGGAAATAGGATTTTTAGTACACTCTCTTTTTCAATAAAAATGTCAGTTTTTAATTGTTCCAGAACTCTGAATACACCTACAGCTGTAGTCATTAAAAATTATAAAAGCTCAACCACATAATTACTAACTTAACTGGAATCAGAATTTCTAATCATTACGGAGGAAAGAAAGTTGAAAATTTAGATTTTAAAAGGTTGCCTACCAAGGTATGTAATTTACAAAATGAATACTTGTCTAAGAACAGAAAGTGTTATTTTTAGTTATCCATGAGCAAGCTCTAGGGACAAAACAATACTGGTGAGTGGCCAGTTTAGTTACATTGCCCAAACAGGAAGATGGCTGTCTCACACGCGTGGCACGCGGCAGACACCGGAAGCATGACTGGGAAGTTGCGGCCTGACATGAGTGTAGAGAGTGTGTCAGTGTTCCCTACCAGTTTGTGAGGCTAGTTCAGCCCTGAACTATGTTCTGAAAGCAACAGACACTGGGCTATCACTACATTCAGCACCTTGGAGGGCTTGCATGCTTTTAATCCCCCTGCTTACTTTCTGTTGTCTGGAACTCTTAATGTACTATTCTTTGATTTATCTTTTCAGATATTTCAATGATGCTCTTAATATGCACAAATGCCAAAAACTATCTAACAGCTACATAAGGGCAGAATCTCGAATACTGGACTAGAGTATGCTGACCAGAGGGAGGAAGCTCTTGCTTAAGAGGAATATCTAAGGAACATCTACACGAATTCCAGATACAAGGGTCCCCCTGAGACTGACCCTCAGGCCAGCCTTCCCCTGCCTGGGCTTCAGCTTCCCTGTTTCTCCAAGGAGAGGTCTGTGCCTTACAGTCCCTCTAGCTGTGACCTGCCACAGCCCCAGGCCACCTGCTGCACTCCTGTTGTTTACAAGCCCCCTGGCAGCACACAGCATGCCTTCTCCTAACTCATCCAGCTTTCTCGAAGAAAATGAGATGTGCAGAAGGGGTCCTCCAGCACTCAGTGCCAGCCAGCCTCTAAAGCACACTAAAACCCAGGAGGATCCCCACACAGGTCCTGTGCGTGGAAGGGCCACTGCTGAGCCATCCAGGATGAGCCAGAAATGGTGGAATCTGAAACTGGCATGAATGCTGCCTCCCAACCTGGGAAGAGATGTATGTGCAGGCTGCCTGCATCACTAAGATGACAACTCCTCCCCGGACGGTCTGAAAGCAGTGCTGACACACACACCTCCGCACACACTATAAACTCTGACACATCTGAGGGCCCGTTCTCAGCCGCCTAGCATCCCCACACCCCAGCATCATCTACTAACCGCTGGAAAGACTCAACCATTAACAACACATATGCAGACAAGGACCCAAGAACTACAACTGTAAGTTTGTGGTTCTTTGAATCCAAGTGTCACACAATACACCACTGTTTTATAAAGATGCTGCAAATTACAGTAGGCCTCGCAGACATGCCCACACACACAAGCACCCAGCAGCCCTATACCCCACCATCCCCTCTCTGTTCCTGAACCTAACCTAAACTACACATTTAGGTTAGGTCCTAAGCCTAAACCACACATCCCGGCCATCCCCTCTCCATTCCTGAACCTAATGCGGTCTTCAGTTTTCAATTCGGTTTCTCACAAGGGTTCTGTTATGCCATTAACACAACACCTCTCTAATGTGAACTATCTTTCCGCCTGCAGGAAGCCCCTCAACTCAGTCGCCTGGAGACATCCATACTGCACAAGGACCCTCCTCACCCGTCACCAGAGTCTTGTGCCCGAGACACCACGAGGGCCCCGTCCGCTTACCTGATGAGCTCATACGTCTCCCCCAGGAGTGGGTTGAAGGGCTTGCCAGTCCTCTCCCACTGGGAAGCCACAGCCGAAACCGCAAAGGCCGCCACAGACTGAAAGCAACCAAAGGCCAGTGAGGGGGTGGTGACCACGAGGATGTGTGAGACGAGAGCTGGGGTGGCGCCCAGACATGCACTCGGGGTGACTTCTCAGTCTCCCGCTGGTAACGCGTGTGAAACCACAGAACTTCCGGGGAAATGCTGTTTATCACCCACCGCTTCCTCAAAGCCACAGAAAGCAGGAACTCTGCTGTCTCCCACCCAAGTTGGGGCCTGCCCTGCAGGCTATCTATCACACATGCGTGCACACACACACACATGCATGCACATGCACACACTCGCATGGGACGGTGGTGCTGAAAGGACCCAAGAGGGGCCAACTGCCAGCTCCACACGCCCCTGCAGCCCCGCATGCCCAACAGACAGGAGGCCAAGACCACACCCATGGAGAATGTGCCTGTGGCAAATGCCGAGGCCGTTGGGCAGGACAGCTCCCCAAAGTCAGTGAGCCGCTCCGGCCCTGCTCCCAGACGTCCCACTGCTGAGGGCCTGGGTCCCTGCCCCCACGTGGCCAGACAGATCAAGTCACGTTCTTAACTGCTATGGTCTGCACACAACCAAGCACAGGGCCAGGTGCCCCCCAAAGTGAGCTTGCCACCCACCTGCATCCTTTCCAGAGACTGGGGCTGTCGGGAGGCTCTGTGAATTAGGTACACATGTTCCATGTACTCTGTGATCCGCTGCAGGAAACTCAGGGGCTCATTGAAGGCTATGGGCATCGTGATCTTGGACAGTTCCTAGGAGGAGCCGGAAAGGACCCGCTCCATTAGCAGCAGGCTCTCCCCACACCCGCCCCTGCTCCGAGCACCACTTCTTGGAGTCACAGCCGCCTGCGCCAGACAAGATGGTGGAGGCCCCGCGGGAAGTCTGGCTGGCTGAACTTACCAAGCCAATGCACTTCTTCAATATGCTCCACACGCTGAAGTCGCTTCTGGTAAACATCGGGGCAGGCAGAGATGTCCTGCAAAGGAGCAACCAGAGCAACACGTGTGTTTCAACAACGTGAGAGTCACTTACAGTGGATGGCTCTGCTCAGTGGCCCTTGTCTTTCACCTTTTTTAAGCATTAGGGTTTCTCTATGCTGGCTCGCTAGTGGAGGAAAAAAGGACCAGACTGCTGCGGAAGCCCCAGAGAAAGCTTTCTGCACTGAATACTGGAGGGGCTCCTGGGAAATGATCACAGCCACATGGACGACCTTCCCCCATGGAGCTGGGGAGTCAGGTCACCACACCCCCACCCCGGGGCAGCCGGGCGCCAACAGCCAGGAGCAGCTGCAGGACCATGGACAGAGATCAGACAGGAAGGAGTCCCACTCAGAAAACATTTCAGAAACCAGCTCTTAAACCCCTCTGAAGCCTGTGTTTGTCTTTCCTGAGGTCCTGCGTGGCCACAACATGACAGGCGCTGGCTGTGAGGGGCCACGAGGAGGGTGGGCAGGGCCCAAGGATGGCTCTGCATGTAGACAGGAGTGAGGACAGAAGCTGACGAGATGGAGGAGAAGAGGGGCTGGGGCTGGGGCTGGGGCACGGAGCAGACAGAGCCCTAACGAGGGAAAAGCTGGGGCACCTAGGACCCCACGAGGCTGGGACCTCCAACAATGGGCGGGGCTGCCCCCGGGGAGAGGCACAGGTGCAGGTGTCATCCTTAGAGGAGACCCTTACAGTTCATGGTCCAAACTAACACACTGGAGAAAGGGCTGCTGGCACCCTCACTCAGGGCTGTGTGTCTACTGCCTGGGAGCTTTAAGAAGGGGGCAGACCTGTCCAGAAACGGTGGAATCTGGGTGAGAAGCAGGCACAGGAGGTGCCCACAGGAGGCCCAGTGTGGCAGGGACAGGCTGGGACCAGGAGCTGGCAGAGCTGAGGGCATCCAAGACACATCTCCAGAGGCCAGCAGGCAGGCTGGGGAATGGATATGGGAGGAAGAGGAGTGCGGTACCAGGGCCAGCTTGAGCCAGATTCTGGGGTATGGGAGACGGCGGGGGGCTGATGGCTGAGCCCAGGCCATGAGACCAGGCAGGAGGTGCTCTGGCCGCTCAGGTTCCCGCTGGGTCCAGTGCAGGGCAGAGGCTGGGGTGAAGGTGGGCTCCCTGGGTGGACAGAGGCCACTGCCACCATCCCGGGGGCTCCACGTGCTTCTTGTCTGTCCCACCTGAGTCTTCCCTTCTGTTCGCGAACTCGGGTCACTGTCACTGGAGTCTGCTCATGTGAGAACCCAGTGGTGGTTGAGAGAGAACGGAATGTGGTCTCGCTGCACTAAACCACCCTCAGAAACTCTCGGGGTCAGAGGTCAGTGTGTGAAAAGAGAATGCAGGCAGATCTGCATGAAGCCAGCAGGATGGTCTGGTAACAGTGAGGGCAGGCTGTGTGCAAACACCAGGGCGCCCTGGAGCTCAATCCCGCAACCCGGAGCAGGCACAGCTGCTCCATCAGCTTACAGACGGGGCTCAAGTTGAAGAAGCACCATCACTGATCTGCAGGGGCCACCCAGAGGCTGGCTGAACAGGCCCTGGATCTGCCCAGTGACGCTGGACAGGACGTTCTCAGCTCACAACCTGCACCCGCAGCATATCTGGAGCAAGTTGAGTACAGGTGTGCTGGGAGACACTAAGATGTACCCATGGGACAACCTACCTGTGCTTCTGAATCCCATTCTCCTGAGGAGGCCTGTCCCCAACTTTTCCGATCCCATTACTTTTGCTGGTGTCCACATGAATCACGCCAGTGAGTCTCTGATTTGCCTCTGAAAATTCCCCGGAAGAGTTATCAGAGTCAAAGCCTGCATGAGACAAGCAGAGGGTGACATGGCAGGACTTCACCTCTAAGGATTCTCACTGAAAGCAGAAAACCTGAAGCTCTAAAGTGTTTCTAATGGACACAGTCAGAGTAATTAACTCCACTTCACAAGAGCTGAAGACAGAGGTGGAGAACGAGGACTGCTCCCGGGGGCTCCCCAAGGAGGACCCCACCCTGCCACCCACATTGCATGCTCCATGGTCCTTTCCATGTGGGGCAGCCCCAGGGCACTAGGACGGTTTTCCCCCGTGGTCATCAATGACTCATGTCCTCTGGGCTGGTCACACCTAACTCAGGCCACAACATCCTCCTCCTCTGTCCATGTTTGAGGTCAAACTCTGCATCATGTTCTGAAACACATTTGCTGTAGTATTTCTAAGACTAAGCACCACGCCAACGAACCAGCAGAACCTAGCCAACCTATGAACAATAACCCAAACCGTGGATGATGGATGTGAACCCAGAGAGTACACGCTACACGGAAAACTTGGAGAAAATGACCCATGAGGACTAATGAGAAACACAGGTAGCCATCTCCTGGCCTGTCCAGTCCCCGAGGAAGAAGGTCACAACCCTGGGCAGACCTCTGGGTCTTCTCCACCAGGAAGGCTTTTTCCGAAGTGATCAGTGACCAGGGACAAGGGAAGTGTGTTTCCTTTTGCTCCAGGGCAAGCCTGGAGGGAGCTGTGGCTGCCAGGTGAGTCATTCCAGCAGGAGCAGGGGCTCCTGACAGCTGACCCCCAGCAATGAGCCCACGAGGAGCATAAGGTGGGCTCCCATAACAGCCCCTCATTTCTGAGTGGAAAGTGGGGCCCAGCATGAAAGACCCGGGGCGCTACTGCCACACACAAAACGTAAACCACCTTGCCACTGATAAGCTTCCTTGAGAAAATGCAAAAATACCTTCTTTCACATTTTTCTCTATTGTAGATCCACAAAATGTAGTAGCATTGAAACCAATGACACAATGAATTTGAAACGATATATTAAAAATGATCAGTACCTTCTGAAATAACCTGTCACCTCTAGTTTTTGCTAACCATCCCCAAAGTGACACCTGCTGATTCCCAGCATAAACGTGGGTCTAAACATAGCCTGAAATGGTCCCAGCTTAGGGATGCTGAGTGCACAGGTATCCCTGTATCCCTCGGGGGTGAGAATCTAGGCCACCATTAAGTAGAAAGTTCGTTTAGATCACAGCCCTGGGGTAGGCCCCAGAAAACAAGGCAGCTTCTCCCTCACAAGTGCCTGAAGTCTTGTCTCTGGTGAAGCCAACACTCTGAAACAGCTTAATCATCTTAATACACAATGTTTCTTTATTACACAAAGAGAAAATACAGAACAGCCAAGGAGCAAGCTGAAAGCATCCATAATCTGATCACTTAGAGATACCTGTCTTTGACAGGTCAGTCTGACTTTTTAAACAGCCCTTCATCTGTACATATTCTCATGTGCTTTATTTAAAACCTTTCAATTGAAAGGTATTGATTCTTATAGGGAATAACTGCCCATTGAAGTCATCCATTCAGTAACTGCTGGGTTTAAATATGTTTTAAACTAGAGTCACAAAAGTTAACACCGACTCTAAGACAGGAAAGTACTCACTGGGCATTTCACTGCATTGGGAGACTTCAGATTTTTCATCTTCCTGTTACTTGTTTGGGAACCAAAGGACTGAGGTGAGAAACTGTTTTCACTGAGAAACCTGCTTCCTCTGCCTCCATCTCAGGGACTGTGGAAGGTCCTGCCGTGCGGAGAGCCAGGGGTGGAGTCATACACATATGGCACCCCACACAGCTCAGGGCCTCTCTAGGGAAAGCCCTCAAGAGAGCCAGTTACACTGGTCCCAGTAAGAGAGCACCTCCAGGAGGCTCCTGGGTGAGAGAGTCTCACTGAGGTCAGGCTCTTTTGGTTTCAGATGTGGCGCCTCTGCCAGAGCCAGGCGGACCAAGGGCATGATTCCCCGACAACCAGCCGCTAGGTGGAATTCAGCTGCTAACAATCACTGATGAGCGGGTGGTTGAGCAGACAATACGCTTCCCAGGAAAACATGTCTACAGGGAACATAATAGCTATGAAATCTCGGGAGATGACTCAGTGGTTCAGCCTTTAAGAACAGCGAAGGGAGCACAATGCCAGCTCCTCCTGGGGCTTCGGACGAGAGTAAGTCCATCACCTGGGGCTGCTGGCCCGCAACTGCTCCAGCCCTCCCTCGGGAGAAGTATGGCCAATGAACGCAGGCAGCACGGGGCCAGGGCTCCACCAGGGCTCCAGGTGTCCCGGCGGGGACAGCACAGATGTCTGGGGACAGCGACCACCACCAGGCAAGAGCCTCCTGTCATGCTGGGCACCACGCTCTCTCGGCACCAACCATGGTAGGGCCCCTCTGACAGCACTGGGGAGATTATCACTGAAGGACCTGGCGGTAGTAACATTTCAGAGCTGCTGTTTCTATGCCCCCACATCCGAGAGCAGGCCATGGACTGGAAGAGTACCCTGAAGTCCGTCTCCACCAATAAGAACCCTCAGCAAGAAAAGCAAAGTGATGTTCCCAGTGCTGATAAGTGGGTGGAGGGCAGCGGGGGCATCTTGAACTTGAGTTTGGGGCCCCCTCAGGAAGTGACAGGAGGAAGAGGGGCTGCTCTAAGCAAATGTGGCCTGACCCAGCCTGGCCTCTCCTGCCCCCCACCCCCTGCCCCCCCAGTCACTCACACACACACAGACCACCCATCCCACCATACACTCCACCCCACTAGCCTGGGTACCAGTGTTCACAATGGTGTTTGAAATGCGAAACAGAACTGAACTTTTTTTTTAGAACTGAACTTTTAACACAGCAAGAGTTGCTGTGGAAGCAGATGATCTACTATTCTTTGGTAGACTTTAAGTGGTACAAAACAAGATATAGTTATAAGACAGGACAGTAAGGTTTTGATCATTATAAACAATATAAGGATGCTGACCAACACATTCAGGAGCCAAATAAAAATATTTACATCCCAGGGCAACCCTTTCAAAGACTGAAACACACAGTTGCCCTTTCATGTTATCTCCTGTGCTCCAAAGTGGATGTTTTCCTCCAAATCTGGGCCAGGACAAGTGCTCTTCCTGGGAACACATCACCTTTCTCTCCGCGTGGCTCTCCCAGGCCATCCTCACGTCCCCAGGCTATGTCTGAGGGCTTCGCACTCATGACCTGGCCTCTGCGCTGGCACCCCCTCCGCTTACCTGTGACGGCATCGAAGAACTCCTCCTCTCCGTTCATTCTTCAGCAGCCAGGCTCCCGCCGCCTGATCCGGAGGGTCCTCTACTCAATCATTGTACTGAATCTACATCGACGCTGTGAACTTTTTAAGGTAAAAATCCAACAGGCACTGGAGACCTACAGGGGAAAAAAATTTTTTTTGGTGTATTTAGCTTTCAGAGGTTGTATAGTTTAGAAACATTTAAAAACGTTTCTATCCATTCACTATCCTTGAGTTCATCTCTATTACATCTGAGCAAAGTAGTAAAAGGAATGACCTCACACAAGAGGAAACAGTCACATCTGTGTCCATCAGAGGGCACCACTATCTGAAGTTACTTTAAAAGCCACTGTCCACAGCTGTATAAGGAGCACTGAAATGACTAATCTGGGGTCACGTGGACAGTTGGAAAGGCCAATTAATGAAAGTGAGGTGTCCACACATCAAGGCCCCAACACACCTCTGCCACTGCATATCTTCACCAGAAGCTGGAACAAATGGTTATAAATAATGCAAAGTTCTGTTAAAACATTTATTCCACATTAACCTGAAACCAATTTTCAACTCTGGAGAATTAAGACTGCTGTGTAAGTTCGCTGTCCTCAGCATAAACTGTCATCAACTTAAATTTTCTCAAAATTATTTTAGCTCAATATTTTAGGAGAACTCATGCATATTAACTTCTCCCTTATGAAGCAGTGTTTCATCAATGGCAAGAGACTGTCCCCACAGGTTTGACATCCTAGGAAAATCAGCAGAGACCCACGGTTCATTCACTGTGTAAGGTGGGCACAGGACAGAGCGCTCCCCTCCAGCTCTGAGAGCAGTTCCAAAGGAACAGATGGTCCCCAGGCCTTGGAGCGGCCACATGGCACCTGGCATCACCACCAAAGGGTTCATCTCGGGCTCCATCCTGAGCACAGGTGAGCGTCTATGTCATATAACCAACTGGGGTTGGGTTTTCCATCCTTCCTCCGCCCAAGAAGCTCTTTCAGAATTTCTTTTCCTTCCCCACCTTCCTAAGCTGCAGGCAGAACCACACCCGGGCAGCTTCAGGAAACACCCATTCAAAGCCTCACTCAGTCATCCATGCTGGTTCTGTTTTCCTTCTGGCAAATTAAAGAAGTTATTGCTCACTTCTGACTCTTCTCTGATGTGACAGGCCCAATCTATAACATCCAGCATCACACTCGGGCTCCAGAGACCACGAAGAAGAACCAGGGTTCCCTGGAGGAGAAATGGCTGAGTCCAGAAGTGGGGTCCCTCTAGAGGCAGCAGGAAGCTGGCAAGACTACTTGAGTCAGGTCAAAAGGTTCAGACGAACCTGCAGAGGCTCCACTGGGACAGCAGGTTCCTGTGAGCCCTGAGAAGAGCCAGAGTAGTCACCTCACACATTTAAGTCCCCAGGTTCACCAAGATGCTGAAAAAGAAATCGACTGGTCACTACTGGATGGATGATGACAATACATTCTTCTGAAAACTAGGACGTGCAGGAAAGCACAAGCCTTTGAGTTGCCTTCCTGTACAGGCTCTCTGTCCCACTTTTTAAAGGCGTTCCTGCTAATCCATGAAGGACCAGGCTATGTCCATTCTGTGTGCAACCCTGATGAATTCCCATGTCTGAGGCCATTCCATCACAGACCCACATGCGCTACCTGCCTCTTCCTCGGGGGTCCTGCTAAGAGAATGGACCCTCCTCCAACCTTAACTACCAACGTAAGGAACACAGAGAAGACAGGAACATGCCAAACTCCACCAAAGGGACACTGTGGGCAGAATCCTGACCCTGGGCAAGTATACAGGGTGAAATTCAGCTTCTCCAACCAATAAATCACACACACACAAAGTGGCAGGTAAAGGGACACTTCCCTATCTCGAGTGAGATGACAGTTTCATGGGTATAGACAGATGTCAGAACTCATCGTACGCTTTCAATATGTGCAATTTAGGGAACTCCTAGTGGTCCAGTGATTACTACTCCACGCTCGCACAGCTGAGGGTGCAGGTTTGATCCCTGCTGGGGGAACTAAGATCCTGCAAGCTGTGTAGCAGGGCCAAAAATAAACAAATACCTGCAATTTACTGTATGTTAATTATACCCCCTAGTTCAGTTTAGTCACAGTCATGTCCGACTCTTTGTGACCCCATGGACTGCAGCACGCCAGGCCTCCCTGTCCATCACCAGCTCCTGGAGTCTACCCAAACTCATGTCCATTGAGTCGGTGATACCATCCAACCATCTCATCCTCTGTCATCCCCTTCTCCTCCTGCCTTCAGTCTTTCCCAGAATCAGAGTCTTTTCAAATGAGTCAGCTCTTCGCAGCAGGTGGCCAAAGTATTGGAGTTTCATCTTCAACATCAGTCCCTCCAATGAACACCCAGGACTGATCTCCTTTAGGATGGACTGGCTGGATCTCCTTGCAGTCCAAGGGACTCTCAAGAGTCTTCTCCAACACCACAGTTCAAAAGCATCAATTCTTCGACGCTCAGCTTTCTTTACAGTCCAACTCTCACATCTATACATGACTACTGGAAAAACAATAGCCTTGACTAGACGGACCTTTGTTGACAAAGTAATGTTTCTGTCTTTTAATATGCTGTCTAGGTTGTTCATAACTTTCCTTCCAAGGAGTAAGCGTCTTTTAATTTCATGGCTGCAGTCACCATCTGCAGTGATTTTGGAGCCCAAAAAGTAAAGTCAGCCACTGTTTCCACTGTTTCCCCATCTATTTGCCATGAAGTGATGGGACCAGATGCCATGATCTTAGTTTTCAGAATGTTGAGCTTCACGTCAACTTTTTCACTCTCCTCCTTCACTTTCATCAAGAGGCTCTTTAGTTCTTCACTTTCTGCCATAAGCGTGGTGTCATCTGCATATCTGAGGTTATTGATACTTCTCCCAGCAATCTTGATTCCAGCTTGTCCTTCGTCCAGCCCAGCGTTTCTCGTGATGTACTCTGCATATAAGTTAAATAAGCAGGGTGACAATATACAGCCTTGACGTACTCCTTTTCATATTTGGAACCAGTCTGTTGGTCCATGTCCAGTTCTAACTGTTGCTTCCTGACCTGCATACAGGTTTCTCAAGAGGCAGGTCAGGTGGTCTGGTATTCCCATCTCTTTCAGAATTTTCCAGTTTATTGTGATCCACACAGTCAAAGGCTTTGGCATAGTCAATAAAGCAGAAATTGATGTTTTTCTGGAACTCTCTTGGTTCTTCGGTGATCCAGAGGATATTGGCAATTTGATCTCTGGTTCCTCTGCCTTTCTTGAAACCAGCTTGAACATCTGGAAATTCATGGTTCACATATTGCTGAAGCCTGGTTTGGAGAATTTTGAGCATTACTTTCCTAGCATGTGAGATGAGTGCAATTGTGCGGTAGTTTGAGCATTCTTTGGCATTGCCTTTCTATGGGATTGGAATGAAAACTGACCTTTTCCAGTCCTGTGGCCACTGCTGAGTTTTCCAAATTTGCTGGCATGTTGACTGCAGCACTTTCACAGCATCATGTTTTAAGATTTGAAATAGCTCAGCTGGAATTCCATCACCTCCACCAGCTTTGCTGGTAGTGATGCTTCATAAGGCCCACTTGACTTTGCATTCCAGGATGTCTGGCTCTAGGTGAGTGATCACACCATTGCAGTTATCTGGGTCATTAAGATCTTTTTTGTATAGTTCTTCGGTGTATTCTTGTCACCTCTTCTTAATATCTTCTGCTTCTGTTAGGTCCATACCATTTCTGTCCTTGTTGAGCCCATCTTTGCATGAAATGTTCCCTTAGTATCTCTGATTTTCTTGAAGAGATCTCTGGTCTTTCCCATTCTATTATTTTCCTTTATTTCTTTGCACTGATCACTCAGGGAGGCTTTCTTATCTCTCCTTGCTATTCTTTGGAGCTCTGCATTCAAACAGGTATATCTTTCCTTTCCTCCTTTGCTCTATGCTTCTCTTCTTTTTACAGCTATCTGTAAGCTGTCCTCAGACAGCCATTTTGATTTTTTGCATTTCTTTTTCTTGGGGATGGTCTTGCTCCCTGCCTCCTGTACAATGTCACGAACCTCTGTCCATAGTTCATCAGGCACTCTGTCTATCAGATCTAGTCCCTTAAATCTATTTCTCACTTCCACTGTAATCATAAGGGATTTGGTTTAGGTCATACCTGAATGGTCTAGTGGTTTTCCCTGCTTTCTTCAATTTAAGTCTGAATTTGGCAGTAAGGAATTCATAATCCAAGCCACAGTCAGCTCCCGGTCTTGTTTTTGCTGACTGTAGAGAGCTTCTCTATCTTTGGCTGCAAAGAATATAATCAATCTGATTTCAGTGTTGACCATCTAGTGATGTCCATGTGTAGAGTCTTCTCTTCTGTTGTTGGAAGAGGGTGTTGCTATGACCAGTGTGTTCTCTTGGCAAAACTCTATTAGCCTTTGCCCTGCTTCATTCTGTACTCCAAGGCCAAATTTGCCTGCTACTCCAGGTGTTTCTTGACTTCCTACTTTTGCATTCCAGTCTCCTATAATGAAAAGGACATCTTTTTTGGGTGTCAGTTCTAAAAGGTCTTGTAGGTCTTCATAGAACCGTTCAATTTCAGCTTCTTCACACTGCCCCCCAAAAGATACTTAAAGGCACAGATGTCATAACTGCATCTTTTAAACTGCTCTTATCTTTCCAAGCTATGCACTGAAACACATCGGATAGAATAACAGCATGTCTGGGAGTTTCTTCAAAATGACTTGGGGAAAGGCCAGGGTGGTTAAGGGGATGAGATGGGCCAGAAGCTGGTGAACTGCTGGGTATGGAGACAGGCTCACAGGGGACCATGGTGCTGTGCTTCCTGCTTCTCTGTATCTTTAATATCTCCCATAATAGAAGGCATGTTCAAAGCCACAGTATTTTCTTTTTATATGCTTCCTTGCCCATAACAAAAATCCCAATGTTCAAAGTAAATCAATCAAAACTCATGGAAAGTCTTTAAAATGAAGGTCAGGCTTAAAGTAAGATGTCAGGCTGGACAAACACTGA